ATGGCTCTCAACTCCCAGCTGACTTCTTGGAACAGAAGTTCGATAAGGGACATGGGTTTTGTTTTGGTTCTTTGGGAAGGGCAGAGACTAGGTGGAGAAGGGGACGCAGTTTGGTTTTGGTTCTTTTGGAAGGAAGGAGCTCAGGAGAGAAGGAGTGGAGGGGTTATGGGCTTTAAGAAAGTTTTCTAGTGGGCCCTGGACAGGCCATGCTGAGTACTGTCTGGGGTTGGGCCCTTGAGGCATCCGGCCAGCAGAGAGAACAGAATCCAGAACTGAACAGGGAGTGACAATGGAAGATCAGTGATGACAGCGCCATCGAGCAGAAGGAGACAAACCTATATCTCCAACCCCAACCAGGAAGTGGGAATCAATCTAATGGGGAAGTTATAGAATTGAAACTCTGCTAGAGAACCAAGCAATAGGAATTCAGTGGCAAAGAACCCGGGTCTGGGACTCGAGAATCTGGGTTCTAATTACTAACACTGCCACGGACTTGCTATGCAACCTAGACAAATCCTTGCCTTTCTTTAGGACTTGGTTTTGTCACCTCCAAAATAAGAAAGCTGGGTCCCAAGATGACACATCCTCTCAGCAACAAGAGTCAGAAGAGACATGCGCTACAGAAAAGGAGGGTCTTGGGAAAACTTAGGCTGAGGTGGGTAGAGGACTGCTGCCCTCACAACACTGAATACACAGTGGGGGAATGTGGAACTATCTGGCCACCTCCCCCAGACAGCACACTGGGATGTCTCAATTGCTGACTCACAAGAACAAATGCATGCCACCCTACACTTGTCCCAAACACTTTCACACTCAAACACAGTTCAATTTTCTGGACCAACCAGCCATTTTTCAGGGTTACCTCAGTAGTTAAGGGTGTGCCAGGGCGGGGAAACTGAGTGAACTGGACAGGCAAGTCTTTCCTCTAAGGAGAAGACCTTCAGTATTCTGTAGGAGTTACCCACAATCCACCAGGGCCCCAGATGTCTGCCTCGCCAGCCCAGCTTGCAGACCACAGGCCACAGGGGCCCAGATACAGATAAGACTGAAAACCAGATGGAGCCACCATTTATCCTGTCAGGTGGGTCCCAGAGCAGCCAGTGGTGGAAAAGGAAGGAAACCAAGAGACTTCTCACAAGGAGACTGCCATGGAATGGACAGAGCCTCATGCAGGGTCATACTGGGCCTTTCTGCCGCTTTCTCCCAAACTTGGGAGAAGTTTACATCTATACCCCAGCTATTTCTGTCAATGGGGCACAGAGAGGCAGGTTGCTATGGTGGGAAAAACCTTCCAAAGATCTTCCAGAAATACTTCTCTCAGACAGATTCAGGGGGTCATGGCTGTGGGGCTACAGACGCAGACAGTTTGATGTGAATAAAAGAAAGACAAGACCCCAGTTGCTTGAAGTGGTTGGGAAGGCATCCGGAAGAGGTGTTTCCAGAACTTAAAGGAGAAGTAGCACTGAGGAAGCAGGGAAACAGCATAGGCAGCTAAGTTGGAGAATAAGCCTGGGATATGGGAGGAAGCAGAGTTAAAAGGGAGGCTCTCCATTTATTGAGACACTACTAGGAGTCAGCGCCTTTCCACATGGAGTCTTCTTTAACCCTCACAGCAGCCTTTACTGTAAAGGCAGGCATTAACTTAACCCCCATTTTACAGAAGAGGAAACGGGGGGTCAGAGAGTTATTGTTGTCAGGTGCCATTGAGTTGGTTCTGATTCACAAGAGACCCTATGCACAACAGAACAAAATACTGCCTGGTCCTGAGCCATGCTTACAATTGTTACATTTCAGCCATTGTTGCTGCCACTCTGACATCCATCTCACTGAGAGACTTATGTTGTCACTGACCTTAAACTTTACCAAGCATGATGTCCTCTTCTCCAGGGACTAGTCCTTCCTGACAAGATGTCCAAAGTATGAGAGATGATGTCTTGACATCCTCACTTCTCAGGAGCATTCAGGCTACACTTATTTATTCCAAGAAAGATGTACTTGGTTATGGTACTTTCAGTATTCTTCACCAACACCAAAATTTAAATGCATCAAATCTTCTTCACTCTTCCTTAGTCATTGTCCAACTTTCACATGCATATGAGGTGACTGAAAATACTAAAGCTTGGGTCAGGTGTATCTTAGTCCTCAAAGTGACATCTTTGCTCTTTGACACTTTAAAGAGGTCTTTCGCCCAATGGAATTACGTTGTTTAATTTCATGACTGCTGCTTCTCTGTGTGTTGATTGTGGATCCAAGCAAAATGAAGTCTTTGACAACTTTAATCCTTTCTCTGTTTATGATGGAATTATTTATTGGTCTGGTTGTGAGGATTTTTGTTTTCTTTACATTGAGACAATCCATCCTGAAGGCTGTATAGTCTTCGATCTTCATCAGTAAGTATTTTAAGTCCTCTTCTCTCTCAGCAAGCAAGGTTGTATATTGGCATATCAAACGTTGTTAATGAGTCTTTGATCTTTGTCAGTATTTCCAAATCCTCTTCACTTCCAGCAAGCAAGGCCGTGTCATGCATATATTGCAGGTTGTTAATGGATCTCTCCAATCTACTTCTCAGATTATTTGCTCAGCATACAGATTGAATAAGTGTGGTGAAAGGATCCAACCCTGATGCAGACCTTTCCTGATTTCAAACCATTGAGTATCCCCTTGTTCTATTTAGTCTTTCTATGTACAGGTTCCTCATAAGCATAATTAAGTGTTCTGGAATTCCCATTCTTCACAATGTTATCCATAGTTTGTCATGAGCTACACAGTCGAAAGTCTTTGCACAGTCAATAAAGCACAAGTCAACATCTTTCTGGTATTCTCTACTTCCAACCAAGATCCATCTGATGTCAGCAATGTTCCATGCAGTGAAGCTATATGAGGCTAGTGAGGGGTTAAATTGAGGTTCTAACTGCTATCCTGCCTTGAAGTCCATGGCTATGACCCACAGTGATTCTCCTAGCAACCGGCTGAGAGAGGTGTTTCTGTAAGATGTTCAGAAGGAAGAAAGTCCTTTCCTTTCCAATGACTTCACATTCTCTCCCTGGTTCATGAAGTTGGCACTCCTTAGTATGCCCTGGATAAACCACCTCAATATTAAGCTAAGGGAGTTCTGGTAGAACTATGGTTAAACACTCAGCTACTAACCAAAAGGTTGGTAGTTTGAACCTACCAGCTGCTCTGCGGGAGAAAGGTGTGGCAGTCTGCTTTTGTCAAGATTACAACTTTGGAGCCCTTATGGAGCATTGTTTCTGTGTTTATAGGTCACTACAAATCAGGAGAATTGCCCAGATGGCAATGTTTAAAATACATATATATATGGAGTTCTGGCGTGGTACTGTGGGTTAATGCAAAGGACTTCAAGGTTGTTTGAACCACAAGATCCGCTGTAACCTTATACAGGGTTGATATGAGTTGGAATGACTCGACAGCGCTTAGCAACAACATATACAAATGTATGTATACACACACACACACACACACACACACACACACAGACACATACACATATATGGAGTCCTGGTGTGGTGCTGTAGGGTAAGTAGTTGGCCACAAGGTCAGCAGTTCAAATCTAGCAGCCACTCCTTGGAAACATGACATGGTCACTATGAGTTGGACCGACTCGATGGTATTTAACACCAACATAAGTATATAGGACAAAACATTGCCCAGTCTTGTGCCACCCTCACAATTGTTATGTGTGAGGCCATTGTTGCTGCCACTGTCACTGCGTCAGTCCATCTTGTTAGGGGTCTTTCTCTTTTTTGCTGACCCCTCACGTTACCAGTTTTATGTCCTCCTTCTAATAGCAGGTCTGAAGTATGAGACATAGAGTCTGGCAATTCTCACGTCTCAGGAACATTCTGGCTGCATTTCTTCCAAGACAGATTTGGTTGTTCTTCTGGAAGTTCAGGGTGTTGTTGATATTCTTTTCCAACATCATAATTCAAATGCATTGATTCTTCTATGACTTTCCTCATTCATTGTCCAAATTTCTTAGTCATGTGAGGTGATTGAAAATACCATGGTTTGAGTCAAGTGTCCTCAAAGTGACATCTTTGCTCTTGGACACTTTAAAGTAGCTGTTTGCACAGCCCAGAGACTTCATATGTCTCCTAAATTGCCTCAAATTCCACAGAACACAGGGAAGCATATAAACAGCAGGTCTGCCTAATGCAATATATTGTTTGATTTCTTGACTGCTGCTTCCATGAATGTTGATTGTGGATCCAAGCACAATGAAATCTTTGACAAATTCAATCTTTCCTCTTTTTATCATGATGTTATTTATTGGTTCAGTTGTGAGGATTTTTGTTTCCTTTATGTTGAGCTGCAATCTACACTGAAGGCTGTATATAGTCTTTAATTTCATCAGTAAGAATTTTATGCCCTCTTCTCCTCCAGCAAGCAAGGTTGTATATTTGCATAGAACAGGTTGTTAATGAGTCTCCTTTCAATCCTGATGGCATACTCCTCTTCATATAATCCAGGCTTTCAGATTGTATACTCAGCTGTTCTGTGGAAGAAAAGACGAGGCTTTCTACTCCTGCAAAGATGTACAGCCTCAGAAACCCTATGCAGGGTAGAGATGTGTTGGAATTGATTCGACAACACTTAATAACAAAAACAGCACCCTATAACCAGTTGCTGTCTAATGTATTCTGACCGTGGTAAACTGTAGAAATGTGCTCCACAGGGTTTTCAATAGATGATGTTTCTTCCAAGGTAGCTCTGAGTAGCCTCAACCCACTAACCTTGGGGTAGCAGCTGAGCACAGTAGCTGTTGGCACAGCCCAGGGACTTCATATGTCTCCTAAGTCGCCTCAAATTCCACAGAACACAGGGAAGCATATAAACAGATGCTCATAATGAGAGGTACCACATGCTTCAACCTGGCACATATTGAACCTCTTAACCCACTGAATAAATGTGTTAAGAGTCAAGTTCAGATTTGCCACCTGTTCACCCACCCACCTGAAATGACACCCACAAGGTTTTACCTGGATGGGAAAGTAGTCTCGAAAGTAGCGCCACACAGCCCAGTTTCGGACCCACTGTGACCTCCTGCCACCTTCCAGGAAGCAAAAGATAATGTTGGGAAGGAGTGAGAACAGGGTAGGGGTGGGATGGGGTGAAGGGACTTGGGCAAGGTAGACAGGATAGAGGAGTTGAAAAATGCCACAAGCCCCCAGGAAATTGGGAACATGGGCATTCCAATTTGAACCCCTAAGGCAGATGACCCATGCGACATCCATCTCCCTTCCCCATGGCTCCATTCACCCTCTCCTGTTGTGCAAACCCTGATTGAGAGCAAGTTCCTGTGGGGACCATTCCCCCAAACCACACTCTGGTCTGGCCCCAAACTTTTCACACAGTAGGTCCAGGACAGAAACAATGCTAGGGGTGAGGGGTGGGCTGGGGGAGGAATCCTGGGCTCATACCTTTCTTAGGTGTGTTCCAGTCAAACGCCAGCCAGGTGAAGTAGAGCACAGCGATGAGCCAGCAGTCGGTACAAAACGTGTACATGAGGATGACGCTGCAGACCACTCCTGCAGAGGGACAGCAAGATGACTGACTGCAGGTCAGGGCCTGCTCTCCCCTGTATGGGCCTCAGTCTCCCCTGTGGGCAATGGCAACCTGGGGTCTGGAACCAAGGCTCACCAAGTGACTCAATGCAAAGGAAGTCTGTGAGGGTGTCATGGAGAAGTGGCTAAGGGGATACTCAGCCTGGGGAGGGGCAGGCTCACAGGGACTCAAGTCTCACCCCCCCACTCTGATGTCTGTCCTGACTTCATGGGCACAAGGGCTCCCTGTAGCTTGGTAGAAGTGACAGAGGAGGTAAACTTCAGCTGTGAGTCTCTTCTTAGAGCTGTCCTTCTGCCCCCTCCTTACACACTCCCTCCACCCTGTGCCCAGCCCAGAATTACTACGGGTACAGGGGGCAGGGGGCTTACATCTTCCAAGAGCCACCACCTCTCAGAATCTGGGCTGAGTCACTGTCTCATTGTGAGACTAGGTACATTTCACTCCATTTTAGAAGTCAGAACATTGAGCCATTCAAAAGGGAAGTAACTTGCCCATGGTCACCTTGCAGGACAGTGGCAGAGCCAAAGAATGCAAACCAAAGCCTGACAGACAAACCACATGCAAGTTCACCAAAAATGAGAAGCCCCAGACTGACGCTGGAGGATGAAATTTAGAGAGATTTACAGAGGAAGGACCTCCGCTGCTTCTACTAGTAGAACACCCCAGGTGCTTCTACTGCAGGGGAGTGCATAGACCCCATCAACCTCCCTCTCCTCGGGAACCCTAGCAGGGCACTCAGACTGCTCCCCTGGGGCTGGCTTCATCAGTTCACTCTGTTCCGGGCCTGCTAGCCACAGCCACAGCCACAAGGTTGAATAACCTGGCACAGAACGGAAGGAGAATCAGTGCCAAGCCTAGTTTATCTCATGACTCACCCCCAGATGCCCTCACAGAGCTTGTCTCCTTCCAATTCTTGCCCAGCCTTCAAGGCCTGGCTCAGACTTCATCTCTTCAAGAAGCATCTCCCAGTACCATACTATCCCACATCATTCATCTCTCACCTCAGAGAGACAAAAACAAACAAAAAATCATTGCCATCAAGTTGACTCTGATGCAAAGTGACCCTATAGGACAATGTAGGACTGTCCCCTCCATAGGGTTTCCAAGATATAAATATTTAACAAGTAGATTGCCACATCTTTTTTCCATGGAGTGGCTGGTGGGCTTGAACAGCCGACCTTACAGTTAGCAGCTGAGCACTTTACCACTGAGCCATCTCTCTGGCCCCTGGCCCTCAGCACAAGGTTAGGGGAAAGCAAGCCCATCTGATTGGTGGAAGAAGCGTAGCCTCCTCTCCATTGCTCAGAGAGAGAAGCCAACTCCTGCTGTGGGCACTGAGCTGGTGAGCGGTACTCCAGGGCTGCCTGGCTCTGGAGCTCAGCCTCTCTTCTTTCCTCCATACTAAGATTCCTCTGGTTTCCTAAGGGAAACAGCAGGACCAGACACAGATTTGTCAGGAGCCTAAGAGCTCCTGGATCCAACCCTGTTCTAGACTCCTAGGCTAGCAACTCCCCCACAATAGCTCAAATCCAGCACAACTACCTTGGGAGGGGCAGTGAACATACAGTAGCCAGGCATCCAGTTTTTCAGGACCAGCTTAGGAGTGTGACATCACAGATGGGGACCATGAGTCTCTCAGGAAGCATGAGTCTGGGAGACCCTGTTAATGGCAGTACTTATGACAACTTGGTGAAAGACTATGTCTAAGTCCTTATGGTCACTTACAAAGTCACTCACATTGTTTAGCAGTTTGCCTTTGGTTTCCTGTCTTAGACCTGGAAACAGGGCCCTTCTAATCTACTATACACCACAGGTACCCAAACTCCTTTACAGGCTAGGTAGACATGCCAGGGCCTGAGGGGTTCAAAAAATAAGGATGGGGGTAGCCTGGAGATATAGCTCCCAGCAAACCCCAAGTCTTCTGAGGGGTAGAGGACTAGCAGGCCTGAGCTGCAAGTCCTGCTGCCCAAAGGTCTGGCAGCTTTGGGTAGAAAGCTATCCCTGCTTACCTGCCCTTACTTTGGTGCTAAAACAGCCTGGAGGAAGAAGAGAACAAACAGCAAAGTCCAGAGACTGTGTTCCAGCCCCAGACTCTCTCAGCTGGAAGCCTCCTCCCCTAGTCCCTGTTGTACTTAATTTATGTCTCATTTGGGCAGACAACCTATGAGCTCCTAGGGAATTAGAACCAGGTCAGACTGACCTCTCACATATGTGCAACCGACACAACAAAGGCTTATTGAGCATTGTTGCTGTTGTTGTTAAGTGCCGTTGAGTCGGTTCTGACTCATAACAACTCTGTATAGGGTTTCCGAGCAGCGGTCTGAATTGACCTTGTGGTCCTGCACTTATCCTCCAGCGTGGCCACACAGCACTATCTTTATTGTGCATTCGAATGAACTAAATCTACCAAATGTCCTCCTTTTCTTTCTCAGAGCCAGCTAACCCTGTTTCCACATCTAAGGTTGTGGGGCTACAACAGGAAACAATGCCACTGGCCAATGAGAGGCAACACAGTGTACTTCAAACACCCTGCCTGCTCCACATATGGGAGGTTCAGAACCACTGTCACAGCTCATCCCTGCCCTGCACGTCAGCTGGCCAAAAAGAAGCTCCTCCAAGATACGGAGTGCAAGGCAGCCTGAGTACTCACTGATGGAGGAGGAAACAGTAGCCCCGGCCCTGCCACCTCCTAGCCATACCCATCCCTGAGTCTCATTTCCTTACAGGGTACTGGGAGGATTAACTGAGAATATCTGAAGAGGGCTTAACAAAGAGCCAAGGAGCTCTGGTGGTACAGCATGGTAAGGGCTGGTGACAGAGAACTGCTAGGTTAATGGTTCAAACCAGCCACTCTGCAAAAGAAAGATAAGGCTGTCTGCTTCTGTGAAGACTTACAGTCTCAGACACCTTATGGAGCAGTTCTGCTCTGTCCTATCAGGTCATTCTTTACAAGTCAGAATCAACTTGAAGGCAATGGGAGGAACACAGTTTATGTCCAGTATGGAGATTCGTGGACTTGGAAGGGGACCCACCCAAAAAGAGAAATTTTCATTTTCACTCATCTCTTATGAAAATGTAGCATTTCCTTCACTTGTGAATACAGGTAATATACCACAGTAGTATTAACAGCCTTTGGATTCTAAGATACTAAGTTATCTTTCCATCACATTGTAACTATAGCATTTACTCGTCACTATTTAAGAGTTACAGTAATTATCACAGCTGCTGTTAGAACCTTTTATTTTAATTAGAAGAATGTATACTATTATTATTAAGTTTGGTTTTTAAACGTGAATATTTATGTATGAATATCATTAGCTTTAAGGAGTGCGGTGGCTATGTAGGATAAGCACTGGACTGTGAACCCCAAAGTTTGCAGTTTGAGCCCACTGACCACTCCAAGGGAAAAATGATGAGGTTTTCTGCTCCTGCAAAGATGAACAGTCTTGGAAATCCTCGGAAATCAACTCAATGGCACTTAACAACAATCATTGGTTTCATTTGGGAAACCTTTGGAATTATAAATTTGAAAACATCGAGCATAGGTCCATAGGGTCAGGGCAGCCTTTGCATCACTAGGCGTGCCGCGCGCAGCCAGTAGGCTGGGTAGCAGGAGGAAGAGCTGGGGCTGCTCTGGCAGTAATGAGCTCAGCAGACCTGCCCATCCAGCAGGCTGAGTCCCCACCTACATGAGCGCTTTGGGCAAACACTAGGCTACTTTCTGGGCTTGGTTGGGTCTGATCAATTGTTAACCTACAGCCTGGAGCCAGTCCCCCTAGTGTGGGCTGGGGTTCTACCACCAGCTACCAAGCCCTGACCCACTAAGACAGGGTAGCTATTTGGGTGTAACTAGAAAATGAGAATATTATGCAGCACAGTAGGCAGGGCACTGGGAGGCTAGAATCTCTGGGCTCTTATCCCTCCGGTAGGTCCTACTATCTCTTCTCATGTGACCTTGGACCAGGCCCTGCCCCCAGGGGGCTCCTGTTCCCTATCGGAATACTGTGATCTCTGATCCAGGAATCTAATAAGTCATTGAATACAAGCAAAGTGAGGATTTGAGCCCTGGAGGACCCAGTTTAATTTGTTCCCCAGGCCAGGGTTTATCTTTCTGAGGCCATCTATCCCTTAAGAATTGATCTGACATAGCAATGGCCTTTCTCCCCAGAAAAATTTGCACACATACTCTCATAAGTTTTTACATTTAACTTCAGAAATTCATGTGTCCCCTAGAGGTCACTTTGGGGCCTAAAGGTGAAGACTGGATGTTTTTCAGACCAGGTTCACTAATCCCAGGCTTCCCAGCAAGGCCTGTCCATGCACTAGGCTGCAGGTCACACCCCAACTCTGCCATGTCGTGAGCTTTACAGTCTGCGGTTGTCACAGAACCTTTGTGAGTTTCCACTTCCTCACCTGGAAAGTGGGGAGTCAGGGGAAGACATGTGACATGCCTGGCACATTGTAGGGGCTTCACAAATAGCACATGCACAGGAAGGAGAGGGCAGCGGCCCTGATGTGTACTATCAGAGGCCCCATTCCTTCTGGAAAGATAGTTGCTCTGCATAGACATGGTAACTCCTAATAGTGTCCAATTAGCCTGGACAATCCTGAAAAGTGGGTAGCTCACAGGCTCTGGAATATTCTCTATGATGCTTTGCAGCAGGTTCGTGCTGGGGACGGAACATTTTATGCTGAGGACACAGGGGCTTGTGGGAAGGAGGTGAGGTTTCTAGGAGAGCAGAAGGTGGCCTTCCACCATCTCCCCAGACAATCCACAATGCCCTGACCCTGGCCTGGATGGCCACCCACCAGTCTTGCAGAAGAAACAATCAAAGCACTGGTACAGCAAGTGTTGAGAGACAGAAGGGAGCAGACATTAAACTGGCCAGGGTAGGAAGCTGGGCGGGGGTGATGTCTGGGGCAATATCTCCCATATAGTGGGCATCTACTTTGCCCAGGCCCTCTGCTAAATACCATCATCCCTTATCTCACACTGTCTTAAAGACTATGTAAAGTAGGCAGATGTCCCTCACATTCCAAATGCAAAACTATGAGCTGCATATACAGTCACAGAGCTTATTTAGGGTAGTCAGGACTCAATCCACACCATATCTCCCCTAAGGCAAAGCAACATGACTGCTGGGAAATGTTTACTGAGAGCAGGACTTTAAACCAGTTCTTCTTGGTACAGACATGGCCATGAATGGACCCAAATTTGTAAAATGTGGGTGAACTGGAATGATAGTAGAATGGGATCAGTTCCAATTGTGGTTCATTAGAACTTGACTGTACTGGTTTGAACTGTTCAAAGCCCTGGTTGGGAGACAGGGTGGCACTGCAGGAAAAGTACAGACTTAAGGGACTCTACAGACCTGGATCCAAATATGCGTGACTTTGGGCAAGTTACCTACCATTTCTGGGACTTGAGTTTCTCATGTATAAAATAAGAACCATATCACCATCCCCACTGAATCTTACTGAGTCTTCATGCATAGCTAGGGATAGAGCACTTGATCCAAGACCCAACAGGTAGTTAAGTAAGTAGGAAGATGTCCTTTAGGGGCTGCTTCCTCCTGCAGAACAGAGTTCCTGTTCTAGCTTTGTTGGGGAGGTAGCCCCTGCCTGTCTGCCCAGATGCCTTCGAAGCCCCACTTACCCAGCACGAGAAAGGACAAGACCCATTGCAGCACCGAGATGACCTGCAGCTGCTTTTCCACCTTGGATCTATTGAGCCAGGTGATGGAAAAGAGGTCCTGGAGGGCTGAGAGGATGCTGGAGCCAGTGCCTGCAGCAGAAGGGAGATGTCAGCCTGATGCCACCCTTTGTTTGAGTTCTTAAGTCCATATCCCACCCCACCTTCCACAAGCAACTAGAAGAGAGGAGCAGGGCCCACAGATTCAGCCAGATCCTGGTTCAAACTCTGACTCTGTCATCCAATAGCTTTTTGTGTATGCACAATGGAAAAGGTCTCCCCATTTTAGGATTGTTCAGGAGACCAAATTTGATATCTAAAGAGGTTAGGCCTGGGGCTGGGCCTCTGGGAGGCTCTCCATAACTGCCAGTCCTCTTTCCTCTTCAACCTCCAACCAAACCCCTGTCCTTACTCTTTATCTGGATCTAGTACAAATATTTAATCTTTGCTATCTGTCTGTGAGGTCAAGGGCACAGGTTCAACGTTCAATTTGCAAGTCCCTGCCCCCCACCCCTGTTTTTTTTTTTATCCAAGTGTACTTTGAGCCTTCCTAATCCTGGAGTCCTGGTATGGTGCTGTAAGATAAGCACTGGACTGCAAGGTTGGCTTGAACCACAAGGTTGGTGATTCAAACTTAACAGCTGCTCCTTGGAAACCCTATGCAGGGTCACTTTGAGTTAGAACTGACTCATCGGCCCTTAACAAAAAAAACAACAATCCCTTCCCTGGAGGCTTGGCGTGGCACTGTAGGATAAGCACTGGATTGCTAACCACAAAGTCAGTGGTTCAATCCCACCAGCTGCACCTTGGAAACTCTATATAGGGTCACTAAGAGTTGGAAACAACTTGATGGCACTTAACAACAACAATCCCTTTCCTATCCCCCATATCTCCAGGGCTACCACCTCTTTACGGCAGGCTGAGTCTCTTAATACCCACAGTAACATTAATACCATTCCCACTTCTACCAACAGACATGAACACTGGTTCCCAAGCCTTCGGAGGGATGTCTACTGTTAGTAGGGAACCTGGAGAGGAGACAAGTAGAATCCTTGGCTTCCCCAAAGGACCCAGTAGTCAATGAACTACAGGCAGTCTGGAGGACACCAAGGGCTAAAATTATGTTTGCTGCCAAGGAAGTGCCAAGTCTGTTAGTTAGGACAAGATGTACTCATTTCATTGGCTCTGTGGTTGTGCCCCCAGGAAGATGCCCTGGACTCCCAATAGCCAATATGCAGTGGGACCAGGAAGGCTAGTGATTCTGGGAGAGGCAGCTGGATCAAAGGAATAGATCACTTCAACCCCCTGCTTCTGCTGAGCCCCAACTGCATGCTTTTCACTCAACACATCTTCACTAAGTCCCTACTGTGTGCCAGTCAAACCTTCCTGTACCCTCACTCTGTGCAAGGCCCAGGATTAGCCACAATCTCTCCCCTGAGGGTTTCCTGACCTTTCACCCTGGCTTACCTACTGTGAGTGGAACGGGAAGGGTTTAGGGGCTTACATTCAAGCCTTTGCATTTCTCCAAAATCTGTAGAGCAGTGAGGCCACAGCAGAGTTTAAACAAGGACATACTCTTCTTCAAAGGAGCTCCGATAGCATAATGGTTACGAGTTGGGCTGCTAACCTCAAGGTCAGTAGTTCAAAACTACCAGCTGTTCCGTGGGAGGAAGAGAAGGCTTTCTGCTCCTGTAAAGATTTACAGCCTCGGAAACCCTAACGAGGTTCACCATGAGTCAGAACCAACTCCACGGCACATAACCAGCACCACTGTTCCTCAGCTGAAAGTTAACAACTGCTTTGGTGTTTAGAAGGTATGCAGGAAGCATCAGGGCACAAACAGCTGTGTTCCCATTACCCAGGTCTGAGGGATCAGAAAGGAGGGATTGGTACAGAAGTAAGAGTCAGACCCTGTTCAAATCCTGTATATCCTCACTGTGTGACTCCAGGCAAGTCTGTGAGGGCTCACTGCAGTATCCTAAGTAGGTGTGCAGTGTGCAGTGGAGGTGATGGATAAGAACTCACAAAAGCAAATTGTCATTCTAGGAGTTTCGCCCCCAATTGCTCCTTTACCTCTCTATAAAAATCCTTCCATCAGACACTTCTCACCCTCTGTGCTGTGTGTCAGTTCTGACTCATAACAACCCTGTATAGGTTTTCCAAGGAGCAGCTGATGGGTTTGAACTGCCAACCTTGTAGTTCACAGTCCAGTGCTGGTCCCACAGCACCACATCAGGAGTCCTCTCACCCTCTAAATTTGCCCAAATACTGTTCCTGGAGTCTGAAGACCCTCTGGAGTCATCCTCTAGAGTCCAATCTAAAAGCCTGAGAGACTGAGGTCCAGAGGGGAAAACTGGCCCAGGATTGCTCAGGTGTAGGTAGCAGAACTGAAACTAGAACCCAGGATTCTTGGCCCTTGCTCAGGGTTCCTCCCCATTCCTACAGCAGCTGCTGAGTACAAAGGGCTTGGCCAATGGGACACAACAAGTTCAAGAGAGGCCAGGGTGAAGAAACAATGTGTGTTCCCCTCACACACCTGGGCTCTAGATCCAAGAGCTGGTATGCTTCCTAAGCTGTGTGGAGTGGAGTGAAGTGAGCAGGAGTCACGGTTGCTGTGGATGGGCTAAGGGGTAGCTGAGTCCCTTGGCTGAAGAGAGGACAGAATGTAGTCTAGCATCTTGCTACCTGTAGGAAAGTTCAGGAATGTAGCATCAGCATCGTCTGGGAGCTGGTTAGAAAGGCAGGGTGGGTCTTGGACCCCAGCTGGCATCTATTGAATCAGAAGCTGCATTTTAACAAGATCTCCAAGTGAATACAGTTTGAGAACTATCAGTCCAAAGTCTCAGATAGGGCAAGTGGTAATGGGGTGGGGGGGTAGCAGGTATTGCCTCCTGCTGGGCATGGAGAGTGGACTGACAGATACTGTGGCATCTCTTGACTGACTGCCTCCTACAGAAGACCAGACCCCAAGGCCCTGGCTATAGGAAAGCCGAAGGAAAAGGCTCCTTGGGAGTCATCTTATCCAGCCCCCTGCCTTTGGATCAGGGCCAACCAACATTGGCTTATGGCAGCCTCCTGCTTGGGGGCAGGGGTAGAAATTCCACATTGATGGCATGTTCCCAACTTACAATATCTTCAATAACTAAGAAGACCTACCAATCATTTGTTGTACCTAATCCAAATCTTTCTGTCAAACTTACTGTTGTTGTAGTTAAGTGCCACTGAGTCAGTTCTGACCCATAGCAACCCCGTATAGGGTTTCCAAGGAGTGACTGGTGAGCTTGAACCGTCAACCCTGTGGTTCAAACTGACTTTGCAGTCCGGCACATTAACCCACAGTGCCACCGGTTTCTTATAGTTAGATAAGGTCAGAGTACAAGAACTGTAGGTCATCCTGTTCAACTCTCATCCCATTATATGGACCAGAAACTGAGGACCTGAGGGACTCTCCCAAATCCCATAGCAAGCCGGCTAAAGCCCAGGCTTTTTTTCCCCCACACTGCCTCTCTTGTTTTTATCTTGCCTGGTTCAGTCCCAATCATGCCTACAAACCTGTTCTGCCAACAAAGTGAGAAATGCTTACAAAGTCCATCCAGGACTAAAGATTAGAGCTTCTGTGAGATTTAGAGTGAGGGACTAGAGAGACAGGGCTATGACCTCGACTTCCTCAAGCCCTCTCAGCTGCCTCCTGACCAGATAATCCTAACTGGGCTGACAGGATCCAGCCCCAGGAGCGGGCCTGTCCACAGAACCCCAGCGGAAGTCCCTCATAAGCCTATGAGATACCTATGGAGTCACAGCTCCTGTTCAGAGCAGGTACTCAGAAGAGCAAGTCTCTTCTCTGCTGCAGATCTAGATGGCAGGTTTGATGCCCACAATGCCCTAGACACTTTGGGGCCTCCAAAGCACTTCCCCAGGTACTTTGACTTAACAGTCTGTGAGTTTGGCATCATCACCCCAATTTTGGTGGTGACAGAGAAAGGGAACCTGGTATAGAGCTGTAGGACAAGCATTGGACTGCTAACTGAAAGGCTAGCAGTTCAAACCCAACAGCCACTCCTCAGAAACCCTATGCAGGGCCGCTATGAGTAGAAACCGATTTGATAGCACTTACCAACAATAAGAGACATGACCAAGGTCACTCAGCCAGAAAGTGGCAGAGCTGGACTCAGTTCAGGTCCAATCTCCAGGCCTGTGCTCTGGCCCTACACTGCAGGTTTTCCTACAACAAACCCAGAGGGATGCTGGGAGGGTAGGGGGAAATGAGTGGTCTGTCCTCCTTCAGAGGGAAGGCTAGGAGCTGGTACTTTATGCAGCAGGTAAAGTGGCAGCAGATCTTGGCATTCCAGTCCCTGCTCTACTACCAACTCCTGTCTATAAAATGAAGAACTGTGTCAGGGGACATGAGGGAGAAATGAACTACATGGCCCCTTCCACTGCTCTGACCTGAGGCCCACTCTGCTGAGGACTCCTGGTCAGGTGCTTGGGAGCTAGTGGCTCTCCCCTACCTTGCAGCAGCCCCAGAGCAGTTGCCTAGACAGATGGGAGGAGGTCAGTTGGGTACCTCCAGATTACTGCCAGCCCACACCACCAAGCTATCAGCACTTCCTTTGCCCTAGGTGTGCCTGGGAGGGGTCCAGCAGAAGCTGGTGTGTGTAGGACCCATTCTGCAATCCAATGCCACCACTGCCACAGCCACCACCAGCCTGATTGTTCCCAACTCAGGAGCCTCAGCATCTAGCCAAGTCCCCGTCCAATCTGCTCCCTCAGCACCCTCCAGCCTCTCACAGTCTCACACCCACAGTCCCTGATAGTCTCACAGCGCCAGTCCCACCACAACCAAACACGCATTGCCATTGCCGGAGCCAATTTCACCTCACAGTGACTTTGTAGGACAAAGCAGAATTGCCCCAGAGCGTTTTCAAGGCTGTAAATCTTTACTGAAGCCGATTGTCACTTCTTTGTCCTGTACAACAGCTGGTGGGTTCAAACTGTTGACCTTCCAGATAGCAGGCGAGCACTCTAACCACTGTATTACCAGGACTCCTTGTTGTTAAGCGCTGTCGAGTTGGTTCCGACTTACAGCAACCCTG